TAATAAAATATGAGCTTTCAGTCAAAATTTGCACTTTACAATTAGCAAATTGTACTCATCACCACGAGCTTATTATCCTCCTAATTACTGAAAGGCTTTTCTGATAGGATGAAGGGAGTGATACTACTTAATGTGATTTTAAAACTATAGTATATTGAAGTGTGTCAACATTTGGAAGATCTGTATAAATCAGTGAGCTAATATTTTCCAACTGACCAGTGCAAGATGTTACAACAGCACGCATGAGTAAAAGATCCATGCAAACTTCAGGACTGACCAATGGGTTTTTAATGTAACAGTACGAAAAGTTTATGGATGTGGTTTCAGATTCCACAGTGCAACTGATGTTCAGAAAACTACCACTTGTTTTGGCTATAGTATCAAAGAAGAATGTCCACAGTTATCTGATTAAGATACTCTTCTTTTTTCCAACTCCACATCTGTGTGAAGCTAGATTTTCTTCATATACTTCAAACAAAGTTACGTAATACAACACATTGAATGTACAAGCAGGTGTGAGAATCCTGATACCTTTTATTTAGGCTAGACATTCAAGAGTTTGCATTAATGTGAAAGGATGCCACTCTTTTCCCTAAATTTTTGGAACACATTTTTTGTAATCATGTATATTTTGTTTTAATGTGTATCATGGTATTGTTATTTATAAATAATTTAAATTTTTGTTTTAATGTCTAGTATGGTAAATATCAGTAGTCATCACCCATATGAACAGAACGTTTCTGAGGGCCTCAAGCATTTCTAAGAGCAAAAGGGGTTCTGAGACCAGTAAGTCTGAGTTGTCTGTTCTCTAAAGATGAGGTGCATCTCAGTAATAAAAAGAGAAAACTGGATCTGCTGACTTTTAAATTGAGGTACCTACAATCACCTCTTCTTTCTCACTGCTATACTTGCTTATTTCAGTTTTCTACTTTTTGTTGAACAATTTTGGTACCTTAACTTTTTGTTAGGAAGTCATTAACATCCTTTGGATTTCTAACTTCATTGCTATGGATTTGCAGGTGGCATTGCTCATATTTCCTTTAACACTTTTTGTATCTTGGTTAATTCTCCCTAGCCAATATCCCTAGCCAGTCTGTGGCTACAACTAATAAATGAATTCAGCTCTAAAATGAATGCTGGTTGATATTTTTGCATAAATGAATGAATAAGACAAAAGTGAATCAATGAAGATGTATGTTCAAACTTCCCCTGTTTCTCAATAACGTGACAAACTTCTTTACTGAATCAGATAATAATTTTCCAGTCTGGAAGAATATCTCTTCTAGTCTTTCCCTCTTTACTATGTAACAGCTATGGACAACAGCACTGATACATTTAATTTGCTTCACGGATTCTCAAGTGGAGAGAGATCTTTCTCCGCAGGGGACGTTTGGCAAGTTCGGAAACATTTTTCATTGTAAAACTGCACAAGGGGTGTTACTGGCATCTAATGGATAGAGTCAGGGACATCCCTCTTCCCCAAAATTATCTGGCCCGAGGATGAAAAACCCTGGTCTATATTATTAACATTTTCTCTATCACTTTTTAAAGTTTAGATAACCAAGAAAACAATAAATCAGGTCCAGATTTACAGCATTTACTGATGTTTTCTTGTGCAAATATTCCCATTATAGCTGACTGCAAGCTGCTGATATGGCATCCTCAGATGAGGAGGCTGCAGGAGATATGCAGGGGCCACATTATACACTATTTCCACTACGAAGATGCAATAGGCATAACTCACTCCAAGAGCATAAATAATAGTAAAATGTAGTGATATAATTATTGTAGGTTTTATATATTTATTACCTGTGTTTATAATATAATATGTTTAATTACAAATAAACATTTAACTTTTAATAAAGACTATGCTGAACAGCTGACTCAGAATTCTTAAAAATTTTGCCATGGGATCTTGCAGGTCAGAATGAGCTGCTCTGGACCCAGCATGCCCCTGACGTGGCTCTTCACCACTCTCACACTCACATGTCGTGTTACCTGCGTGTTGGAAAGACTGACCCAGTCCCAGTCCCAGTTTCCTAGGGAATGGGCTCTCGTTGGCCCAGACTGGGTAGGCCCCTGCCCTGAAGTATAACCACACAGAGCAGGTGTGTGACTGGGGCTGGATCCAAAGGGAGCCTGCGCCTTTCATTCAGAAATCGATGACAGTGTCACTGGGAGTGGGCGGGCGCCCTGGGAGGCACCCACGACGGTGCTGCAGACTCAGGTCTCGGACTTCACTCCTGTTCATCGAGGCTCCATGCAGACTGAGTTTCTGACTCACCCAGTTTTTTCCAACCAGATTGACTTTAAAATAATGCATTAGACCAGTGGTTCTCAAAGTGTGGCCCCTGGATCCACAGCAGCCACCTCACTCTGCAACCTGATGAAAAAGCAGACTCCTGGGCCCCACCCCCAAGTTCCTGAATGAGACAGATACTCTGGGGATCAGGGCCAGTGCCTGGGTTGCAAAAAGTCCTCCTCGTTTTTCTGAAGATTGAGCCCACTGTATTAGATCATATAGTTTTTTTTTTTTCAAAAAGAAAAAACACACAAACAAAAAAACCAAGTTACATTCTATCCTTTAGGATAGCAACAAAACAAGCCCAGGCCATCTTGATCGAATCTGGTATTTCCTCCAGTGTCAGGAAATGACAAATATTTCCTGACAGGGTGAGTTACTCCAACAGAAGAATAATCAATCATATATAGATTCTTACTATGTCTTCTTTTAGAAAACGACTGGTCTTTAATTTCTGTGAATATTTTGTTATAGTGCCATATATGCTATTAAATCATATTTATCTTACCTAATTTACCTTTTCAGGATCTATTTCTTGATTCTCAAGTTAGCCAGAGATGTCCTCAAGAGTAGGACTCTTTTTTTAATATTTGTTTTAGGCTACAGAATCTAAGGTAATATAGAGCTCATAAAAATATTTTAATACCGATTGAATAATTATAAAGATTTAAAAATATACATTGTCTAATCCTTTGCTTTCTTTTACTGGCATTACTTAAAACTTATACACAATTTCTAAAGTAATTATGCTGAAAAAATTTATGAAGAATTTCCATAATAATTTAATAAAACAGAAAATGATGACTATCTGAATATTTTTTCTGAATTGTGGAATTTGTACCAAATTGTGGTGCAAATTGAAGAAAAGATTCCCCAGTAGTACCACTGACTGATAACAACCTGATACTTTTATACATCTCCTTCCCATCATTCTTCTGGGTAATATGCTTTTCTTACCAAATCCAGATTATATGCTACATTTCTAGTTTCATTAATTATTCTTCTTAACTAATATTATGACATGAGCATGCTCATATCATTGAATATTTCTGAAGCATGGTTTTTAATGTTTTACATTATTCAGTCGTATGTGTGAACTATAACTTATTTAACAATTTTCTCATTTAGGACATCTGGGTTGTTTGCAGCATTTCACTCTGAATTCTGTTTTGATGGAATGGGGTGCACATTTTAACTATGAGCACATTCTCCCTTCGAGTCAGGATGCATCGGTTCTCTGGAGTGTTTGCAAGCTCACGTGGTCATCTCTTCACCCTTCTGTGTTGAGAAGCTTACTCATTATCTTGGTTGCTCACATACTCACCTCTGTTATGTCTTCCATCTCAGGTCTTAATCAAGATTTAATTCACATGTTTGCAAAAACATCAAAGTCAATGAAAGGCTGAAATTTAATAGGCGCCTGCTTATTTTCTCTGGTTTACACTAATTTTATCCAGGCTGGCCAGCTGTACCTTTGCGTTCCCTGTAGACTTCCCTGATATTAGCCTTTGTGGCAATCTTCCAGGTTTCTGTGTCATAATTGCTAATCCCCAAGTCAGGAAAATCCTAATAAACGATGATTTGCTTATTGAATTATAAGTGACTCAAGAAACAGATATTCATGTGAGAATGTTAGCATGTTTATTAGCTCAAGAACCTTTTCTTTGTAAAGTATCTTAAGCTTTTAAAAGCCCTAAAAATTAGCAAATCATCATAGATCAGAAAGAGAGTTAACAATTTATTTTTGGCAAAAGTCAGATACCTTTTGGATGCAATATAACCAACACACACACATATATATGAAAAACTTATATTGAACTGAACAATTCTCTATGATTTTGATAAGCCATCTTACCCATTATCAATTGACTGAGAATATTTATTTCCTTTTGAGCAGGAAAAACTAACACATCAAATATTGTTCAGTGATTATCAGTAGAATTAAAAAAATTAGATTCAATGGTTGTATTAGATTAAATACAACCAAAAAGAAATGCATTGTAAACCGTGTTTAGGGTCTTTTTACAATTAAAATCTCTGATGTAATTTTTTCTGTAATTCATTTTTCTTCTTGGATTCGACTAAAAACAAAATAATTTATGATTATGTCTCCAATCATGTCACTGAAAATTTTTATTGCTGAACACATGATGAAAAAGATTATCTCGGCCCGGAGTAAATGTTCAATTATCACTAAGATGTAAACAATCTAGAACTGAGAAAGGAAAGACACGTTGGGCATAGTTGCTTAACTTTACAGAGAATTTAACAGGCTAGCAATGAACACTGTCCTTCTACTTCGTATTAATGAGCTTGTAGTATTGTTCAGGTTTTTCTCACTCTCTAGGTCTACTACATCAATTTTGGCAAGCAGGAAACTTGAGAAACTCTGATGTGAACTTCTGGTATAATAAGTAAGGATCTGGACTTATTTAACATAATTTAAGTGTTCTTCAAGGAAGTATTTGGGCCTGAACTAAGCTAGCAAGTAAAGCATGTATGACAACCTCTAAAAATGAAGCATGTCGACCTCCACACAATTGAAGATTTCTTGTTTCAATTCATTTCACCTGTAGCTGTAGTTAGTGAGACATACAGGAGCACTTCCGGAGGGCGCCGCCAGGGGACGCTAATGCACAGCGCCACAACAGGCGGGCGGGAGAGCTCTTCCCTCTCGCTTGCCTCAGTTTCTGCCGGAAGTGCCCCGTACTATTTTTCTCCGAGTATTTGGGTTTGCATTTTCAAGTGGGCTTGCAGCTCGGGGCTGGCTGAGGCTTGCTGGGTGGAGCCAGAGAGGGGAAACTCGAGCTTAAACCCGGGTAACACGGATATTCTGAGTTCGGAGATCCTCCAACTGCAGCAGCTGGCGGAGGACTTGAACCCGTCGGTGGTGAGCAGTCCGTGGTCGTGGGCGCGGGGTGGTGTAGCGGTTGGGGAGGGGAGGCTGGGAGCGGGGACTGGTACTCTGAGGACTCGGGGGCCGGGGGCGCTTAACCAGACGGCCCTGCCCCCTACCTGGAGCCGCCCCTGCAGGGTCCGACTTGACCCTTTTTATTCGGGAGCCTTAGGGAGTTAAGTGGGGGAGTTGCAGGAAAAGTCAAGAGTTTGGCAACCTTTCCCGTAGCTCCCGCTATTCCCTCGCCGTTTCCCTGATTGGCCCTTATACACGCTCTCACCTGTCGGAATTCTGCCCCAGTTCTTCTGGTCGTTCGCGTCTGTGGTTTCCTAATGGTTTGTGCCCAGCTGAAGCGTAGAGGAAGGGCCGACTCAATTCGTTTTTAAATCTTTGATTCCTTCTTATTGGTAAAATCGGCTTTTTATTGCATTCTCTTCCCTGCCCCGCAACCCCCACCCCATACCATACACACAGAAAAGCCTGTTGGTCAGCTCTTCACTGACAGGAAGGCAGAAACTGTAGTGGGGAAACAGTGGAATTCTAAAGAGGAAAAATAATTATGTGACTTGGAAACTTCCTTAAGTTGATCTCCATTACTTTATTGCATTACAATAACTTAGATCACTGGTTCCGAAAGCTTTTGGTCTGAGGACCCCTATACACTCTTCAAATTATTGAGGATCCCAAAGGGCTTTTGTTTATGGGTTTATCGATATTTACTGTGTTGGAGGTTAAAGCTGAGAATCTTTAAAAATATGTATATATTGTATTAGTTCATTTATTATTTGATGATACTGGTTTACTGAGTTCGCACAACTTTCAAATACTGATATATTTCATTACATCGTATTTTTAAAATCACGTTATTTAATATCACCAGTGACGTCATGACAAACATCTTTAAGTATTGGTACACCATCAAGCTTGTGAGGACGGATCTAACATCTCCACAATTTTAGATTTCACTCAAAAGCTGGCATTTTATCATAGGCAGGTAATGCTATCAGTTGCTTGCCAGAAGTGGCAGGTTCACCTTGTTAACTTTTGGAAAGTTGACTAAATCTGAGTGACTATCGTTTGTAGATATTCTTTCATGTAAAAATAATATTACATGAAAAAAGCGGCTGGCTTAGTTTGTAACTTAATTGCACAAGAGCTTTCCTTCCAGACAGTCATCATTTATATATACTTCCAGACACTCATATATACTTTGGTATAAATGAGAAGTGCTGTGTGTATGTTCGCCAAGGCTCAGGAGACTTGCCCTTGCTTTTCATGCTCAGTGCAAATGTCCAGGCAAATAGTACCTTAGCGCTGAAAAGATGTTTGACTTCACAGACCCTCACAAAGGATCTTATTAGGATCTCATGTCTGAGGATCACACATTGAGAACATCTGCTTAGATACTGGATGTGATGTAAGATTAATGTTTATGGTGAGACGTGAGTAAATTGGGATTATTTGGTGGATGGAGTTCATTAAATAGAATATTATTTAGCAGATAAAGGGGGAAAGCTTGTTCATATTTGTAATTCAATTATTTTTATCTCAACTTCAGTGATATTTTTCTTTAGATAAGTAATTTGAGAGTATTTGAAAAAGCAGTTTAGATGTTGGAATGCATGATTGATATGAGTAGGACCAGGATGTTGAAAAATCTAAGTACTCTGGAGGCAAAATTGAATCACGAAAAGCTGAGCTTTCCCTCCAGGTTTGCAATGTGCATATTTGCATAATCAGGTAGGTGAGCGTTGTCAAATAATACAGGCATACTTCATTTTATTGTGCTTGGTTTTATTGTGCTTTACTGTATTGGCTTCACAAATGTTGCTTTTTTTTTTTTTTTTTACAAATTTAAGGCAAGACTCTCCACCAGCAAAACAGTTACAGCTTGCTTTAATGCAGTACTCGTTTGATTGCGCTTGTCTGGAGCAAACCTGCAGTGTCTCCAAGGCGTGCATGCATGAGAAAATGTGTAACTAGACACCTTTACTTTTTGTACGTATGGGTAGACAGCCTTTTGATTTGTAGCTGTATAATTTTATAGCTGAATAGAAACAGTTGCTTTTTAGTCTTTAGCTTTCTGCATCATAGTGCCAGTAACTTTCATACTTTTTTCACTGCTCCAGCACAGTAAGAAGTACTTTTAGATTTTGTTGATATGTATATGAAAAGTTTCATGAAACAAGTCTTAACCTTAACTACATGTGATTCTATCATTTGTTTTGTTATTTTAACTCATTCTGTTTCTTTTTTCTTTTTTTTAATGCTGGTTGCACATCCCTAATTGTTTTCATTGCCGTGTCAGTAGCTGGGAAGCCCCCATCTCAGCTGTATATTGTTCTTGCAGAAGAGCCTCCTCCTCTTGGTCATTTCCAGTGGTGTCCCAGGTTTTTATTGTTAGTCTGATGGTTGAAAATTAAATACCTTGTGAGCGCCCCTCTGTGAAACTGGAGAAGCTCCTAAGCCTCCTAACACCTGTCCTCAGACAGTTCTGTCTGCTGTAACTACTTCGAGTTAGTTGCTCCAGTGCCAGTGCGTTGGAGCCCCGGGGTTGGGGCATCATCAGCAATGCCTCATGCATGTGGAAGACTGAGCTTTGGGGTCATAATTAGCAGTTTTATTAGTTGTAGTTGTGAGGGTGGGGTTTGTGTAGAATTACAGCTTCTTCCCCCATTATTAGATGGGGAAAAAGATGTTTCCTGTGTGCATGACACTGCACTGTGCCACAGAGGACTGAGGAAGTCATGCTCGATCATTTTCTGTAAGGAACATGCATTCAGTTTCACAGAGGAAAAAGAAGCCAACAGGTGGAAGGAATCCCTCCTCGTTTTCTCTGTTAAGATAAGGGAGGTATTGGTTACAGCTTGGGCCAGACCTGCCCCCTGCACGTCGGATCCCAGCTCATCCTTTTGAGCATCACAGGAACCTTAATATCACCTTCTCCCCTTCTTCCCGTGTCTTTAGTCTCTGTACTGGCTCACCCCCATCAGCACTGAAGCATACAGGTGTCTTCCCCACCTTTAAAAAAAGTGTTCTGTTTTTGTGTTTTTTAGCAACTCTACTGTCTTTGTAGCCAAGCTTCTTAAAATAAATCTTAATTCTCACTCATTCCTTCACCTAATAGAAACTGGCTTCTGCCCCCACAGCTGTACTGACTCCATTCTAATCAGGGACACCAGCGACCTTCGTTTTCGTGACTGACAGCAGCGCTGACACTCTTCACTGGTCCTCATCTTTGTTCTTCCCCTGGCACCTCTTCCACTGCAGCTTCCCATTTCTCCTTCCGCTTCTCAGGCTGTGTGTTCTTGATCTCTGACAGGCTGCATCTTTTTGTTTGGTTGGTTTTTGTTGTTTATTTTTTTGTCCTATAAATGTTAGTTTTCATTAAAGTTCAGGCTTAGGCCATTCTCTCTTCACATGGAATATGCTCCCTGGGTGGTCCCTGCTGCCTCAGACTTTGCCTTAGGCCCTGGGTCAGGGAGGTGACAGCTCCCTCCCCAGTAAGTACCACAGTCCCTGGATCCTGGCTTCTGGTGGCAGCAGGGTACGCAGCCCTGCCCGGGGCAGAGGGCACGGAGACAAGTCTGGGCGCCCAGGCGTGGGGCCTCCGGGGGCTTCTTCCTGGGTAGGGATATTCTTTTTGTCAATTTACAGATATTTTTATTGCTAATAATGAGTCCAATCAGGATGCATGTGGTGTTTTTTTTAAAACCAAAATGAAGATCACTGGTGTCCCTGATCAGAATGGAGTCAGTACAGCTGTGGGGGCAGAAGCCAGTTTCTATTAGGTGAAGGAATGAGTGAGAATTAAGATTTATTTTAAGAAGCTTGGCTACAAAGACAGTAGAGTTGCTAAAAAACACAAAAACAGAACACTTTTTTAAAGGTGGAGAAGACACCTGTGTGCTTCAGTGCTGATGGGGGTGAGCCAGTACAGAGACTAAAGACACGGGAAGAAGGGGAGAAGGTGATATTAAGGTTCCTGTGATGCTCAGAAGGATGAGCTGGGATCCGACGTGCAGGTGGCAGGTCTGGCCCAAGCTGTAACCAATACCTCCCTCATCTTAACAGAGAAAACGAGGAGGGATTCCTTCCACCTGCTGGCTTCTTTTTCCTCTGTGAAACTGAATGCATGTTCCTTAAAGAAAATGATCGAGCATGACTTCCTCAGTCCTCTGTGGCACAGTGCAGTGTCATGCACACAGGAAACATCTTTTTCCCCATCTAATAATGGGGAATGCTTCAATGCTTTTTAAAAAATTGTTATTCAATTACAGTTGCTCCTATTTTCCCCCCATTACTCTCTCCCCTGCCCTACCTACCTTCCACTTCCCACCCTCAATCCTTCCCTCCATTGCCTTTGTCTGTGGGTCCTGTATACATGTTCCTTGGTATTTTAAAATTCCTCAAAATGGCTCCGCCAGTCTGCATGGCCAGAAGCCCCGGGCTGGGCAGCAGCAGTGGCAGGGGCTCCACCAGAAGGGGCTGGGCAACACTTTCACACGCACTTGCACACTTGCCTGTATACACACTCGCTCACATACTGTCACTCACACCTGGATTTTCGAGTTGATTGCTCTGTGGTTTAGCTGCAAGACCCATGTGGGGCTGGGAGCAAGTGGATGGAGCTTCCAGCTACTCTGCAGCATCTTGGATTCCTTGGTCATTATTTCTTCAGTTACATTTCAGTCCCTTGATCTCTCTCTGGTAACCCTATGATGGGAATGTTGGTATACTTAATGCTGTCCCAGGGGCCCCTTAAACTATGTTCATTTTTTTTATTCCTTTTTTAAAGATTTTACTGTTAGAGAGTGGGGAAGGGAGGAAGAAAGAGTAAAAGAGAAAGAAACATCAGTGTGAGAAAGAGAAGCATCACTTAGTTGCCTGCTGTGCATGCCCAGACCAGGGACTGACAGTGCGCCCCAGGCATGTACCCCAACTGTGAGTCCAGCAGCAACCTTTTGTCTCGAGGGACGGTCAGCCAGCAGAGC